TTAAACATGGCAAATGCCCATTATCAAAATACAAAGTGGATTTGATTACTGAAAGACAAGATAAAATGTCCACACCAATTGTAGAGAACTTATCTAATTGGTTACAACCAGTCCTTTATATTAATACAAAAGAATTGCAAATACTTACACAACAGGATACTAACCTGTATTATATAGTTGTCCTCGCCTAAACACATGACATAGTTAAACTAAATATGGCACAGCAAATTGCTTCTAATTCAAGGATTATCCAATAAGGCCTATGAAAGCTCTCAATTTTAACGTGATTTTAGGAAATTTGTCAATTTCAATCTTCAATATGTTGCAAGTATGATCCATCAACAAGTTTGGAAAGTGTCATATCTTAATGCATATCTTAATTCGCTCACAAATTAACATCACAAAAAAGCAAAATAAACAATTCAAAAAAGGACCGCTGATATTATGCCTGTTTCATAGTTATAAATGGCTAGACAAAGTTCGAATGGAAAAAAGAGTTTAGTTAAAATTTGAGAAGAAAATTCAGTGTCCCGTTCACCATTGTGTACAGTGATTTACTTAAATTAATTCAAAATGAAAAGATGTGTCAAAGCCAAATATGCTGAATGCCAGGCTCTGCAATCTGTTTAATCATACAAAGAAAGTCGCTTGGCCACAATCAATGAGATACCTAACTACGGAGATAGATACCAGCAATCTATGAATGAAAATTTACCTCTTAGATCGGGAAGTACAGAGGAAGCAGCAATAGCACGCCTTACCAAAGGATCCAAGTTCTCCACCTGAAAATAATATCAAAAGAATCAAATGCTGCTAAGTTAAAATATTACGCCTTGGGTCTCAAGAATTATCCTATTCAAAGAGTATATTGACCCGGCATGTTGTGATAGATTATATCCAGCAACAAATAACAACATGATAAAAACAGTTTCGCACATTTAATAATACATGGCAAGGAATCAGTGGTCTCTCAAGTACTACCTCAACATTGGATCCAGGAACACCACTGAGAACTTTTTCTGCTGTAGATAATGATGACAGAGGAAACATCCACAATCTGCAAAAAGATTCGTCACAAGCACTTGATAGTTGATAACAAACTGAATATCATAAGGGAAAAAAACATAAAATGACCTATTTGCTTCTTTGGGCATGTCCTGGAAGACTAAAAAGCTGTGCATTCTTTTGTGCAGTATGTCAGTATAACGTTAGAAAAAAGAGAGAGAACAATATACCTTTCTTTTGCATACCAGCTGGCTTTGGTAATTCTATGGAAACATTCTACAACTACCTAATAGTATACAAAATGACAAATGTAAACTAGAAAGATAAAAACATTTATCAAAAAGAAATCAATCAGGCATATTGAGTACCTGATCATAAGGAAATTTCGCAGCAATGTTTCTGCTTGCGTGTAGAAAAAGTTTAACAGTGATCTTAGGCTGCAGTTTCTTCGACGGATCTTCTTCATTTGCAAATGAATTATAACCTATCAAACCCGAAAAAAATTGCATACATTCTACAAGCCGTCAAAAACAAATGAAAGAAACTAACCAGTCAACTTCGGGGCGACTGATGAAGGTAACATTCTACGTGCAGGAGGTGAAGCATTTATCTGCTTTCAGAATCAGGAAGTAAGAATCATCATCCTAATGTCGCAATTATAAAATTTGTTTTTAGTTAAAACTAAGCCAAAATAATTAAAAATAAATGAAAAAATTAAAAAGAAGAAGAAGAAGGTAAATTCACTTAAAAAGCTTAGCCAAACCTGGGAAATTGAACCAGTCAACTTCGGGGCGACTGATGAAGGTAACATTCTACATGCAGGAGGTGAAGCATTTATCTGCTTTCAGAATCAGGGAGTAAGAATCATCATCCTAATGTCGCAATTATGAAATTTGTTTTTAGTTAAAACTAAGGTAAAAAAAATGAAAAATAAATGAAAAAATTAAAAAGAAGAAGAAGAAGGTAAATACAGTTAAAAAGCGTAGCCAAACCTGGGAAATTGATTGAAGGGAATTGGGAACTGTATGATTGGTCGCAGTTGGACAGGAGAGGAAGGCGGGCTTGGCCGGGGAACGAGATGACGGAACGATTCCCAGTCGAGAGCTGGGTACATGGGAGTTGCTACTGTTACTGTTAATGTTACTGTAACTAGTTGTCGCGGCAGCGGAAGAGGAATTACGCTCGGCCAATTGCCTGAGGGCATCTCTTTCAAGGAAATCCAATTCCTCTGCGCTCAATTCCCAATCATCCATTTCGTTCTTCAAATTTCAAGTTTCAAGATTAGGGATTGGGCACTGGGGTTTTGAAGTTCTCTAGTCACTTTTCCGTTGAGCGTTTGAAAGCCTCCTTAAACACCATCATTATGCCACCGTTTGTTTCCATTTTTTCCTTACTAATAAAATAAAAAATATAACAGTTATCCGTCCCATCATACCACCAAATTTGAATTTCTATTTCTTGTATGAGACTCATAACAACTATATTTTTCATTATCATTTTTACATTAATACATACCAAACGGACTCTATATTTTTTATTTATTTTCTATTATTCGTATTATTTCAAAATAAATAATGTTATATCATTAGAATTAGTCTACTTTTATATTTGTATATAAACAGTTGAAAGAGACAAGATTCGGTTCAGATACAATAAAAATAAAGAAAATCGGATACCCTTTCATTTCTTTGTATTTTATCTTTCAATTTGATTTCTTAATTCGTCTCGACATAACTTTCTAGAACCGATCTAAGTAATGTGCTCAATACAAAGTGCATGATGCAGAACGCGTTTGATTCGTCCTATTGGTTTGATTTGACTCATACGAAAGAAGTAGCTTCTAAATAAATATAAGAATTCCCAAAGAACCCTCATACGCAGCCCCCTTATGTGAAGGGTTGTAAAGCATTATGGACATCAAAAATGTACATGTAGCATTACTCTTATCATTATAATGATGAAACATTGATACTCTTTCAAAATTGATTGAAGAGACAAGTAGTCAGGGTAATAGGATGTGGTGTTCACCATAGAGATGTCAGTATACCGAGGTAATCCATTAGCCCAACTCGTAAAAGCTCACTCTGGGTCTGATCTTGGACCTATAAATTATATGGCTTAGCGGTGAATGTGGCTAGGCATGGAACTAGGGCGAGTTGATTCAGGCTTATAGTTTCGATTGTTTAGTTGGATTTGGTAGGGTTTGTAATCAAAGATCAAGAGACATATACAAGTTCTTCAGGCATAACTGGACAAACAAAGATGAAAGATGTACAAACGAAGCGATCTAGCAACTCAAAGCTAAATGCTCAATATAAATCAAAAGACTTAAATACAAAGAAAACATAACTTTTTAAAAGTATATTTTGATTCGTCTTACAATACTATCACCTTGTGGTCTAAGATTTTAAAAAATCTTTCATTTTCGAATCGTCCAAATGTGGTAAACAATAATTGAGAGAGCAATACGCTTAGCTTTGTTATGCCAAGACGATCCACATTCCTCTCTTTTTTATCCATTTCAATGCACTTTGAATCGTAGAAATAGAGCGTCACATGCCCAATGTTCAGGAAATATTTTCTTTCGATTTAAATCACCGCAAGTGTATGGTTCATTAACAAGTAATAAAGTGAATTTTTAGAGTCCGAATATTGTCCCACAGAGATTGAGTAGTTCAATTGTATTTATCTTGGCCTTAATTGAATCTAAATGATCAATTATGAGTTTTTATCCTAAGAAATCCTAAATCTAAGCTAAAGTATCAATATTATGAATTGGATGGTATGCTATACAACATAACATTTAAATTAACTAAAATGCAAATTGATATTTGAGACGCAAGTTAAATGTATTCAATGAATGTGAGATATACTAGTATCACGAATTTCCAAGTAATGTTCAATTTAACCTTAATTCCACACTTTGACAACGCGACGAAATTTTGAAGAATCAATACTTCTAAATCTATCCAACACTCTCTCTCAAGATGAATTGTACATTTTCTCATACACCACCAGCATATATCTCTATGACGGATACAAATATACGAGAATGCATGTAGTTTTGTAAGTACTTAGAGATTCACGTAAAGTATAGGGGTATATTTCTATCCTTCATCAGATCCTACGATGATTTATACCTTGTCAAATTTATTTCTCTTCTTTTGAATAGATGAAACAAACTACCAAAACTCACACAATTATGGGCCCATAATCATGGAAGCAATTAAATGCGTATAAATCACTCACACAATCAATACGTATTTTAATGTTAAAATACGTAACAAAGAATTAAATATCACATTATAAGGTTCATCGATCTCCTACTATAGATTTTTCTAGCCTAACATGATTGGAAAAAAAAACACAACACATCACCCTATTGAAATTCTTGAAGTGAGACCTTGAATTTTGGATTGAATCTTCTTGTTCTTCCTTTTTCTTTCTCTTCAAATCCTCCCGAAATAATGTATAGTGCGTGGTCTATGTTTTTGGACGTCCCTAGGGCTTTAAAAGACTCCCCAAGATTTGTTTCCATAAGAATTTCATTCAGAAAAGGAAATCATATTTTTTCGCCACGATTGGCTTGTGCTTTCGCCCAGGAAAAACTCTGGCAGTCGCTCAGGCTAAGAATTTCTTCTCGATAATTAAAAATCCATGTTGGGCGATTGCCCGGTATTTATAACTGGGTTGTCGCCCAAACAAAATTTCTTCCATATGTTGCATTTTAGCCCCCGAAGTCAATTTTTGATTCTTTCAAGTCATTTCTCTTGCATTTTCAACCCTTTAACTTTTAATTGCATCCAATTGAACCTGAAACATCTTTAATCTTCATTTTGTGATCCAAATCAACTATTGAAATGTTGCAACTTAGTCCTCATACTTTGGATTTTCTTCCTTTTTGGTTGTTTTTCGTTTCTTTTCTCTTGAATTCCACAACATTCATCAACATAGTCCTATAAAATATAATTAGATAGAATTAAACCATAATTCAAACTCTTTGATCATAATTAATTCATGTTTGTGAACTAAATAAGTGTGTAAAAACACACTTACCACCCAACTACCCACGAATTTGTCCCCACATGGCATTGCTAGTCAGACAGATGAAAAATAGATGTTGCATAATTTTTAGCTGAAAAGTCCACAAAAAAAAAATGCAATTTCAGTCGATGTTCATGTATTGTAATTTGTCCTTAGTTAATAATTTGGACTTAACTCCCAACCAAAGAACAAAAGCATGTTTCAAGGTGACATGAGCCTTCCAAATAGACTCTGCCCAAACTGTCCTTGTCACTCTGTTGGGCCTAAAAAACTCATATACACTGGCCACGTTGAAACTACCGGTAGCTATCCAATTTGATGGCCTACCTACGACGACCTTAACAGTTTTTTAAAGTCCTTAATCTACTCCCTAATTTCCAACATGATCTTTTCTTGCCGAAAATACCCAAAAGTCTGTCCCCCGAAGGTGAATCTAATTTACCTATTTAATCCATAGCGTGTCCTTTTTACAATAGATGTTCCAAAGTTTTTTAGCTAGTAGCACCAAATTCCAACATTTAATGTCTCTAAATCCAAGTCCATCTTCATGTTTTGGTGAATAAATATGGCTCTAAGCAACTAACAACTTGTTGGATCCCAAAAGAAAGTTATGACAAGACTAATAACTTTTGAGGCAACCGTGGCTGGAATGGAGAGATAGACAACCAAAAACATTTCACGCCTTGAAGAACGAATCTCACAAATTTCGCCCTTCCCATACATGACAAAGATGCCCTAGACCCTGCTCCAATATAGGTTGTGACTTTGTTAATGAAGGAATTATAATATCTGATTTTCAATATTTTCGTTGCAAGAGGAACTCCCAAGTAGCGAAATGACGTAGAACCCATGAGGATATTAGTTGAGGCTAGAATATCATCTAACTCTTGCCCATGTACCCTCGCAATACACATGCTAGACTTGTCAACATTCATTTTTAGCCCCAACATGTCACCAAAATGTGATAAGCAATATATCATGATACCAACTGAAATAGGATCTTCTCTAGTGAAAAGCATCAAGTCATCCACGAATACTAAGTGTGTGATCTTAAGAGGGCCACATTAGGATGGAAGGTGAACTCACTATTCTCCTTTGCACCTTTCAACATTCTTTAAAAATATGCAAGATAAATAACAAACAAGTAAGGAGATGTAGGTCACCTTGACAACCTTTCCTCCCCTTAATGAAATCGTGAAGGCTACCATTGACTACGACAGAGTATGAAGGTGTGGTTATGCGTTCCATCACCCACTCTATGAATTTTATCTGAAACGTCAATCCTTCAAGACCTTTAGAAACCCCAATTGACCGAGTCATAAGCCTTCTTCAAATCAATTTTAAGGAGGCATCTAGGATAAACTCTTTTACGATTACATTACCTCAAAAGCTCTTGAGCTAAATGGATATTCTCCATCATACTCATTCCCTCCACAAATTATGCCCATGCTCGATCAATAATAGACCCAAGAATTGGACCCCAAGCAAGTCGTATCCTAGTGGTCACTTTGTAATTGGGTTTGAATTTGGATTCGGATTGGAGTTTGAGTTGGTAGGTTTGAGTTTAGGTTAGGTGGGTGTGAATTATAAACAGAAAGAGTTGTATTTACCCTATTATGGAAAACTATTTCACGAATTATTATAGCATGTTTGATATATTTTAAATATTGTGAAATAAGTAAATATTAACTAAATATACTATCTTCTAAAAATATGTCCCATTTCATTTCTCATAAATGATGTTTTTTGAATTCCCAGAAATTATGCTTACATTCAATGTTCTTTCCCAAGAAGGAAAAATTCAAAATTAATATCTATATCCTATATAGTGTCATTGATGTTGGAATTCATACACAGATTTCTCTTCGCTATCATTTATCTAACCGATTTAATCTTCTGAATTTTCTTGTAGATATTATTTTTTAATCAATTTTTTTATTTGATGTGTGTCTTTTATTTAATCGTTTTTTCCAGTAAAAAGTATAAAATGCTTGTAGATTTCTAAATTTTTGAAAAAATATTACTGACAATTTCACATATTTTATTGGTTGACATATATTTCTACGACAATGTTTGTTCTCCTAACTAAAATTTACCCATTGCTACGTTACTTTACAGCTTGAGGTATGGCCATAAGATTTGATTCCAATCCTGAGTGATTGTATATATGATTATTTAGTGTTTTAAATCGTTCGGATATGTGTTAACGAATGAGCTTGTGAATATGATAATGAATGAGTTGAATATTGTCAAGAGACGATCATGTCTCAAGATTAAGTATGTAGTTGATGTGGAAATGGCCCCAGTTATGATAAACA